TTAACTATTAATTGTTCTATTAAGTTTGTATGTTTAGTGCTGTGTGTTTTTGAATAGTTTAGTGTTTTGTTATTTGTTATTGTTATTCGTTTTAGTATTATTTTTTAAAATGAACCAATTTACTCGCGGAAAGACGCTTCATAGCCAAACAAGAGAAGTGATTGCGAATGTTTATAGGTTAGTAATAATAATATGCAATAATTGTAGTTTTTGACTACTGAGTCTGAATATAAATAAAAAACAAGGAAATGCTAAGCTAACATTCTCATGATTATTTATAGGGTTTGCGATGAGGAAGCGGCAAACAATTCCCTCAAGTTGCCGCTTAAACGTAAGCTTGATAGGGTGTCCCTTTATACCGGAGTCGGACTATCTTCTGTTAGGAAAATTCATAACGAAGATAAAGAAAGACTAGAAAATAACCCGAATAAAATGTTATCCAGTCCCGGAAAAAAAAGACCGCGTCAGTCTCTTGTTGAGAAAGATGAAAATTGTGATTTTCAGATTATTAGACATTTGATAAACAGATTTTATCTTGAATATAAAGTTGTCCCGACAACTAGGAAGTTATTACAAAAGTTGCGAGAAGACTCAAATTTCCCCTATTCTAGGGAAACACTCAGGAGTTTATTAAAATCAAATGGTTTTTTTTGGCGCAAATGTCAAAATAAAAGAAAAGTTTTGATGGAGAGGCCTAATATATTGCAATGGAGGTACAAATACATCCGTGAAATACGTAGATATCGTGAAGAAGGGCGCAACATTGTTTATTTGGACGAAACCTGGGTGGACAATGACTTGACTTTCAAAAAATGCTGGCAGAGCGAAACTGTTTCTGGTGTAATAAGCAGTATAGGTTCTACAGATAAGCAAAAATGCTATATATATGTTAAATTTAACTCTGATTTGTAACATATTATATAATCGTCTTGTATATTTTAGGTCGACTCATTATAGTGCATGCAGGTTCAGAAAATGGATTTGTTGACAATGCCTGTTTGATATTTAAGGCGGGATTAGCTACAGGCGATTACCACGGTCAGATGAATCGGGAAAATTTCACACGCTGGCTCACAGAAAAACTCCTCCCGAATATACCTGCCAATTCGGTTATAGTATTTGACAATGCTCCATATCATTCCGTCCAGGAAGATAAAACCCCGACAAAATCATCTTCGAAAAAAGATATAATGGCCTGGTTGACAAAGAAAGGTACTTATAACTTAAAACATGCATGTACATATCAAACTATACAATAAAATATTTTATAGGCATAAATCATGAGGCAACTGCCAGAAAATTTGACTTGTTCGATCTGGTCTTACTTCATAAGCCCTGACAACCAAAAAAATTATGTAGTTGATCGGATCATAAGATCACATGGACATACTCCTCTAAGAACACCTCCTTATTTATGCGAGCTAAACCCAATAGAATTAGCTTGGGCAAAGCTTAAATTTCATATAAGAAGCCGCAATACCACTGGAAACTTCAGTTTAACCGCACTGAAAGAAGTTACTCAGGAAGCGATGTCCTTAATATCCATTAATGATTGGCAGAAATTTTGTCAACATGCTAGGGACATTGAAGATAAATTTTGGGAAAATGATCAATTTATGGAGGAAATGGAACCAGTTATAATAACTATAGGTCAAGATGACGACAGCGAAACTGATGACGACAGTGACGATGATGATAATGATGAAGTTGACGAACACTAATGCTAATTCAATAGGTGAAATGTAATTTTGAAATGCTGTATAATGTAAGTATTATTTATTACAGAGGTTATAAGTTAAACGGATATGAAATATGTTTAAAGTTCTTTGTTTCTATTTAAGCGACACCGATGCTCTAGAAATATCCACATCAACAGTCCAAAATTGCAACAATAGGAATCCAGAAATATGCGGATTATAAAATAAAAATTAATTCTGGTCATGTTTCGGCTTGTGGCACTTTTTAAAGTAAATGAGCATATTATAAGATCACGGATGTATAATATATATATAAAAAAGCGAAATAATTTGGAACGATGTTTTTACAATTATTTTATTCAGTTGTATACATACAGTCAGTGTCAGTCGGTAACGCGTGTGAATAGTGGTGTCTGTTGCGTGGCTCAAACGAAATAAAAAATGGCACATGTTTATGCGGATCGGTTTCCCAATCGAGTGCAACCAACCCCTCGTGCCTTTGTTAATGTAGTACAACGGGCTCGTGAATCAGGCGACTTAAGGCCTCACAGGGGACCTCACGATCAAATACAGGTCCGCACTGAAATACTTGTCGGGAGGATACTTTATAAAACAAGGTAAACATTTTTTTTTAATTTTTTTTTATTTTTACACACATATTTTGGCTTATCTTCCTTCTACAATCATTATCTGAAAATTAATGACTCAACTTTCTAAGTCACCCTGTATATATATATATTCTCAAGGTAAAAAACCACGTTAAGTATCTATTTGTATTTGAAAAATATATTTTATTTACGGCTTTGACAAAAACGCTAGCTTCATTTTGGTTTTAAATCGCGCAGATATCATGATTTTTTGAATTGTGGCAATTTTGGGAAGTGAGTAGACATTTTTCCGTTTGTTGAAGTGTAGAAACAAACTCAAGTATTTTTTTACATGGTGTAGATTGTAGAGAACAGCTATTTTTGAGTTTACCCGAGACTTTATTTATTATTATGGACAATGCTCCATATCATTGTGGGCTTATTGAGATACTCCCCAAATTTAAAGTGAAACATAAACGTATAGTTTACTAAATTTAAACCAATTATGAAATAATCCCAAAGTTTTATAAAATCCCGCACGCCGCTGGCATTTTATGAATGAAACCAGCCATGTTTTGCTTTCCCCTCACCGATACCCCGATGTTGCAGATCCGTTTGCCAAACTATAGGTATGTGTAAAAACCGCAAATTATTTGGTAAAAAAGCTAGTAATTGTTTTAACATTCTTAAAACACATGTGATTCTTAAATTTCCCTGAAATAAAAAAGGCCATAAATTCGTTGCAGTACTGCCATTGAATATCAAAAAAATTAGAACATGAATTTCTATTCATTCACTTACCTATTATCAATAGTTTCCGTTTCTCAGTACCAGAAGCATTAACCAATATCATAACTCTTTTGATAGTTTCCCTCCATTGCAAGTTACACCTTTTAATTTATGAGTTTTATCTGGTAGCATTCTATAAAATATTCCGGTTTCATCAGCATTGAATATGTTATCATCTGAATAATCACTGGATATTAGGGGCCAAACTTGAGAAATCCAGTCATTGGTAACGTTCTTGTCAACTGAAGCTGACTCACCACACATTTTTCCAAAAACAATGTTATACCTTAAAGTTGTCTAGCCAACCGGAACTACATTTGAAGTAATCTCCCATCAATTTCCCAAATTCTTCAGTCTTTATTTGTAGCATAGGTCCACTTAATGGAAAATTATTAGCACGCTTTTATTGAAACCATTTAAACAGCATATCATCGACTTGGGGATGCAGCGATAGCTGCATTTTTTCTTTTGACTTTTTGATTTCCAGTCATTTTTAATTTTCTCACGGTTTTTCCAAATATTTGACAGAGTGGATTTTTTTATAGCCATACGAGCCCATATATTTGCTTGAGATGAACCCCGCTCAAGCTCACTAATTATTCTGAACTTTTAGTGTAAATTGAATGCACGTTTCGCACGTTTCGACATGTTTATAACTCTAACAAATACAGTATAACACTGGTGGCCAAGTTCGAATGCAAACTGCGAAGCCAAACCGCCGTAAATGATGGCATCAGCTAAATCTGCTTCGGGGAACAGCCAAAATAGCTCGCATATAATGGATTAAAATAGTCCGCTATAAACGAGGGTCTATTTTAAGCGAGTCTATAATATCCGAGAATTTTACATGCAATTATTTGTAGGACCTTAAATTGTGTCCACTATATACGGGTTTCCATTATAAGCAAGTTCATTATAAGTGTATTTTACAATTTCACATTTTTTCAATAATCCGGTAGGTAGGCGTTCAAATATACTAAGGTTTTCAGTTGTCATTCAAATAATACTACTATAATGGGAAAATGGTCCATTTTTGGTTGAGTAAAAACATTTCGAACAGGTAGAAGAATTGTATTCACAATAATTATTAAAGACAGTTTTCGCTAATTTTACAAAAAAATAAATTGGTAAACAACATTGTAAATCTCTCAAAGGCTAAAACCAGCTACTTAGGTGACGTGTTTACCTAAATAATGTGTGCCGTCAGTTTGAATTACTGGGCAGCTATAAAAAACTACATCACGCGATCCAGATATGGCGGTTGGCCACTAAGGTACCTGAGGGTATTAACGCCCACTTAACAAACTTTTTTTAATGTGCTAATTACGAGTGAGGATTTATGAATTACTGCATTAGTAAAAACATCTTTATTCATAAATAAATACAAATTTCAGCCTTTTTTAGCTCTCAAAGCATCACAGACCCTTTATAGGCCATTTCAAAAAATGATGTTTTCGGGCGTTATTGACCACCTAGTAGTATATTTACGCCCTATGGTAAATGCAGTGTAAGGTACATAAAAGTAAGTAAACACTGAACTAACTAAAAAAATATGCTGCTTAAAACTATTTTACAGTTTAAATAATAGGTATGAAACATTTATCTTTGCTGCAAAGTGAAAAAGAACAATAAATAAATAATGCAACGAGTATTATTCGAGCATTCCTGCATTAACAAAAAAGAACTTGAAATGAAATACTAACATTCTGGGCAATCAAAAATTAAATCGCTTTCTGTCAGACCAACATACTCCTCATGGTACCAGACTTGGCATTTCATGCACTGTTTCATTTCTGATAAACGATTTTCTTTGCAAGCTGGACAATACCAATCTGCAACTTGATCTGGAACAATCCTTGAACTCGATGGATTTTGCTGGAACAAGTCCTTAGTAATCGTTTGTGCTTTGTAGTTCACTGCTTTTTACCGTGGTGGTTTAACAGTAACAGCTTGCTTCATAGTTGGTGTTGGCAGAAGTTTTTGGAACGAAGTACTAGAACGATAGTTAATCCGTTTTTGTAACTCTTGAAGTGGCAAGTCATCTTCCGAATAGGATGAATTCACTATGGGTGAGGTGGCATTTTCTTTTCGTCTTGGAAATAAAAAAATTTCCGACACCCTTGGACGTTGAGGGTTGCTGGTAGACGTCCTCTGACATGTTGGTCTCAGGCAGTAAACGTTACGTCAGGATCGATGGAGCGAACGCCGTTGCGGGAATGGCTTCGTGGTTAAAAGGATATTATATTAGAGTTGGTCATACACTTGGACCAAACGTTGGTAAAAATCCTGTTGAAGCTGGTTTTATTAATTTTCCGGCCTGGATTCTCAGCTTGATACTTTAGCAACTCTACGTCCCAATGATGTTCATAAGAACGATACACAGATTTATTTGTCAAGTTCGTGCGTTGTGTTTGACGGTAGACAATAAAGGGTAATATCGTGCTCTTCAGCGGCATTAACTATTCTCAAGTCCAAGTGAAATGCTGCACCACCAAATACTAAGAGGACTTTGCCAGGTGGCTTAGAACTGGCAAGGTGCTTTATAAAATCAACAAAGAGTTCGGTGGTCATATAACCTTTAGAGGACATCCTTATTATACTGACCGTTGGTAGCATGTCACAATATTCTGGCTTAGCTCTTTTACCCTTGAAAATTATCATTGGTGGAATTGGATTACCAGGGTCAGACTGCAACCTTTCTCATCCATATTGAAGATTTTCTCAGGTTTGTGTTTTAACTCCAATTTATCTAATAAGTTACCAATTTTTTTGAAATGGTCTTCTACTATGAACTTAAACAGTTTTTGCGCACTTGCTCGACTCATAAATTGTGCTTTCCTTTTTGATACAATAGGGTTTCTTTTTAAGAAGGATTTCATCCAATCCTTTCCTGCTTTTTGGCTTTCTGTATTGAAATTATTTGGGATGTTGTTTATTTCACAGAACTTGAAAACATTAAAACGTAACGTTTTCAAGGTAAGCGGCAACCCTATATCGGCCAAACGCAGAATCCTTTGCACTAGATTTTTCTCTTGTTCTGTATTTAGCACGGCTTTTCGACCAGATCTTTTAACGCATTTTCCGGTTTTGAGGTGATCCCGAAGCATTCTTCTGGGGATATGATATCTCTCCGACGCGGCTCTCTGAGTTAAGATCCCCCTTGATACTGACAGAATGGCTGCCTCCATATTCGCTTTGTCCCATCCTACACCACTTTTTCGGACTAGCGTTGACGATTTCTTTTCCATGCCTAATCGCTTCTGAAATAGTTTAAAAATATCATATTTTCATTTGTTTAATAACGCCCGCTTAGGCTGTTTAATAACGCCCACCCCAAATTTGGCTGGGCGTTATTACACGATCTACTACTTAAAACAAAAATAGCCAATTCAAGAAAAAAAACATCTTAACAAGCAGAACTATTAGCTATTCGCTTGTCATAGACCTTAAGCATTACGTGTGGAAAATAACAACCATTTATCATGCTAAGATACAAATTTACTTACTTATTTGCAGCACCTAATTTTATAAAATGGATCGCACAATCACCTGTTTTGTATACTTGGTTATAACTGACTGCGCAAACTCGCTCATGGCGTCGACTGTCACTGTCTTCGTCTTACTACAGTCGAGTATGTTCCTTATAACCTGGGTTAGCTTCAAATAATCCAGTGCGAAGCGCCGAATTTAAAAGCGGGCGTTATTAACCAGCGGGCGTAATTGCCCGCACCTACCTTATATTTGAAAATGGCCGACATGTTATACAACGGTTATTAAACATAACTCCGTAACGACTGGACCGAATTTTCGTTTAACTGAAGTTTTTGGACGAGTTTTACCAAATCAGTGTAGCAATTCACGCTGTATTTCCACGGGCATCTTGCTGGGCACACTTTTGCGAGTGCTTAGGAAACTATTGTATAAAAATGATAAACGACTAAGCTGATATTTAAGAGGAGCAAGCTCCGTTACAGCCCAAAAAAGAATGCGATGTCATTCGCTTCAGGTGAGCAACTCTTTTTATTAAAAATTTTCGTCTGGGAACAGTCTGCGAAAAACAGAATAACGGCCCATTAATATCCGTCACCATCTAACTTCATTAATAACGTGCCGGTGCGGCGACTCTTACCATTTTATTAAAAGTGCTCGTCAAGTGTCTGGCTGGGTGTTAATTAGTGTTGAAATAGAGAAAAAACTATAAAGAGGTAAACACAGTGAAAGAGGGCGGAGCGACCGAAAATCAAATTGCCATTGATGAAGTGTGTGGGCTTCAAATTCACAATTTTACCCTTATACGTGGTGTCGCCGAATAAGATCGCATTTCTTGGATGCATATAGGACAACAAAAAAATAATGCCACAAGTGGAAATAAAAATATTCTATGGAGTTCATCTTACGGGAAAGAAGCCCTAAAGGTTACAGTTATAGATATGTTCCTTGAGGACTGAGTGCCTTGATGAACGTTCAAGGGATGATTTAACATTCGCACAGTAGGCTGCAGCAGTTATCGTCACATGTTTTCGAATTTTCAAAATTTTTGAAAACCACCAAAATATTCAAAATGTTTTCAAAATTTTTCAGATTTTTTAATTTAAAACTTCTAAAAATTATAAAAAATTATGAGGGTTTTGATAATTTTGAAAATTCTCAGAAAGACCCACGCCGAGCAAAACATACAGAAAATGAGTTCGAGTCGGTTTGCCTAAAAATTCGGTATCATACTCGTATGTGTTCTCGCCTCCCTGAACAAAAGTTCTCATTGAACCAAAACAATCCAATGGTGTTGAGGAGTAGGGATCGTGTCTGACTTGGAAAAATGGTGAATGTGCTGATTGTAGTTCTCAGACCAAATACTGATAGGATTATTGTTATCCTGAAAGAAATGTTTCACTAAAAACCTTGTACGAAGGTACTGGTAGGAGTCATTTTGATCTTGACCATAAAAGTCATTGTCACTGATTATATGTCGTTTGGTTTGACCATTGGAAAAGGCTGCCGAGGCAACCGAAACTAGTCTAATTAACATCTGTGGTTTGATTTATTGGCCAGTGTAAGGTAGAATTATATATATCACAACTTGAAGCAATGCTCATACGCTACTTCCCTTTCGTTTTCAAAATAAACACAATGTAGGCAACACTTAGTACATAATTGTGTATCGACAAGTTAAGTGCTAAATTTTTTAGTACCTGTTCTGAATAATATTATGCTTAAAGTACGCAAATGCCTACTGCGCATTTGGAGTAGTTACAATGGCTGCTACAAGCGCTGCTTTATAAGGAATTACATGCTTTGTGTTAACTCCTTGATATTTTCTTACTGTTTTGTTGATGAATAGATGAGATGACAGTTGAATGACAAAAACAAACTTAACTTTCATGGCTGGGATAGTACGAGTATCTCGCATAACGTTATCCATTCTTGATACACTTCCTTCAAGTAAGACAAAAAAAACTCGAACTGTACATTAGAGAGTCTTAAAAAACTCCTATAAGTGAGTGGATCCTCCACTAAAAGTTCGTTATTCAGCATATGGATCCCTGGTCCTTCTCTCTGATCCATTCTCGACACCAAATTCTCTTATGGTTTCGTTTACTTCGTTCATGAACTGGGCAACTATAACGCAGATCGCTTCTGCCCAAGTCGCATACAATATATGCGAATTACTATACTACAACTATTTAAAACTGTAATGACTCATACGCGTGATCAACACGTGATCAGAGCTCGATCCCGGCTTCCTTCCAGTACAGCCGTATAGCGTACGACATATGTCGTTTCTGTGGCTTTGCGGTGGTCAACAGCACAGACAGATAATGGCTGATTATTCTCCGCCGGTAGAACCAATGAAATCAAAGACACGCCTCGACCGGCAGCCTCATAGGCGTCGGCAACGCATTGGAACGTGTTTCGTTGAGCGATCGCATATTGTGTGTTTTTATAAGAATTGTTGTGTGATTGTTATTGTTGTGGTTTCTGTGGTTACTGTTTTGGTTATACTTAACCATGGAGAGTACAAATGGCACGAGTGGAAGTTCTGAAAGCCAGGGAACAAGTAGACGGCTTCGTAAAGCACTGAAGAGGGACGCGAAAGAAATCGTGCTCAACGTGTTCAATTATCTGAACAGAACTATGTCGCAAGGAGATGCACTCGCGCGTTGTGAAAGTATGACAGGCGTTCCAGAGTGGACCATTCGCAGGGTGGTGCATGAAAAGAAGAAAACTGGAGCTACTACTGATCCAAAGTTTAATTTGAAGGGACGAAAGGCCGTTAAATTGGATGACGATAGCAAAATGGCGTTGAGGCGAATCGTACATTCATTCTTCTTTAGGAATGAGATACCAAACCTCAAGGCTGTACATGCAGCGATCAAGGAAAATGAAATTATACCCCAAATGAGCGTCGAGGTAATGAGGAAATCCCTGCACGAAATTAATTTTCGTTACGAAACGCGTAATCGGAAGTCAGTATTGATAGAGAGACCTGAAATAATCGCCTGGCGTCGAAAATACCTACGCGAAATGATTGAATATAGGCGACAAAGCAGAAAAATCTATTATTTGGACGAGACATGGGTAAATGCAGGTCACACAGTTAAAAAAACCTGGATAGACAAAAACGTAGTGAGTAACCGACAAGCAAGCATTGAAGGTTTGTCAACAGGTCTTCGTGGACCGTCAGGGAAAGGTCAAAGATTGATCGTAACTCATATTGGTAGCGATAGTGGCTTTTTAGAAGAGTGTGACTTGATTTTCGTCTCTAAGAAAGGAGGTGATTACCATGACGAAATGAATGCCAGCTGCTTCGAGAGCTGGTTTCAAGGGGTGCTTCAGCGAGTTGAGCCCAACTCTGTGATCGTCATGGATAATGCTTCCTACCATAGTCGTCGAGCCGAACGTGTACCGACTATGGGATCTCGAAAAAGTGACATGAAGCAATGGTTGCGCGAAAAAGGAATCCCGTTTGACGATTCATGTGTGAAAGCGGAATTGTATGAAAAAATTAAACAGCACAAACCTGCGAACATTAGTTACGTGACTGATGAGATGGCCCGTCAATGTCGTGTCACTGTGCTGCGGTTACCGCCCTACCACTGTGAACTGAACCCAATAGAGCTCATCTGGGCTCAAGTGAAGGGTTATATTGCGCGCCATAACACAACCTTCAAATTACCAGACGTTAAGGTTTTACTTGAGACTTCCATACAGCTAGTAACGCCCGAAGCTTGACAGAATGCTATCCGTGATGTTGTTAAGGAAGAAACAAAAATGTGGCTGCTTGACCATCACATCGACACCATCACAGAGCCAGTTATAGTCAATTTCAACGAGGAAAGCGATAGCGACAGTTTATTACTGTCAGATGTAAGTGGAAGCGACGATGAATAAAGGTAATTCCCAAATTATTGACTTACAATATGTTTCAAACCACTCTTTATTAAGCATGTGACAAATCTAGTTCACCCATGTTAAACATTCATACCCCGCCTATGAACAGCCGACTACTGGTAGTTAAGTGATGTTCACGTGAACATCGATGAGTCATTACAGTTTTAGATAGTTATAGTATAGATCCCTCCATTTTCTACAATTTTCTATTCGTTTAAAGTAATTAGGGAATAAAGCAGCAAGCGCCAACGAAAAGTGTGGTTAGAATCACTTTGACGTGACAAATGGCAGTCCCGAGTTGAGCGAGTGCGCTTGATTTCGTACGAAATTTATTACAAAGATTTCTTTACTTGACAGACATGATTGTAATTGGTAAAAAATTGAAAACTACATTCAATAACGTATTTTTTCACAAAATTTGATACCGAATCCCCATAGACGGCAACCATTCTCTTAAGAATTTCGGCTAATGGCGCTTTTTTATCTGAAATTTCATGATACAGCGATACTCATTTTTCCTCACAATATACTTTATAAATTCAAAACTGATTACCAAAATCAACACAAAATTTGTAGGTCAAGTTAGAACACATGCCACTAATTGATATATTTTGCTCGTGTTTTTTAATTGTTTTTTCTAGACGTCTTTTCTAGCATCCCTCGTAGCATCAAACTAATGAGAGTTTTATGGAGTGCATGTTCCTTTCAATGGCCCCTTCACGCTACCAACCATCAATCAATCTACTCCACACTATCTACCTTTTAATAACATCCACGTCAACTTATCGGCCCTAACTTGACTGCTTTTAAACTCCAGACATGGCTCTCCTCTTCTATTCTCCTTATTTCCCTGGAAATTCGATGGTTCAAG